GAACTCAAAAATAACCGTTGCCGTTCGATCGTGCCATAAACCGTGCCTGTGAAGGCCTGAACATCCCGCCCACCTTGAACGCTGTAGCGTTCAAATGATCAATGTTAATGAGGTAACCTAAGATATCTTATGTCTAAACAATTACAGAAATATTAGTCTATGTGTAAACATTCTAAATTTGGTATGTATGTACAATTTCTATCTTAAAACTACTGTACACTAAATTACAGAGGGATGATTTTACGCATCTGTCCCTTCTATGGGCAACACAAATCTTTTTGACTGGTCTTTTGATAATGCCGTCCACGGTCTTGACAGAGACCACTCGCGGAATTCCATCAGATCCTGGATGGAGGTCGGTGATCCTGCCCAATCGCCATCTCATGGGGGGTGTGTTGTCATCTCGGATGACAACCAAGGTTCCCACCTTAATGCCGCTTGGAGAGTCTGTCTGCCATTTATTTCGCTGCTGGAGTTCATGCAGGTACTCCTGTTTCTAACGCTTCCAAAAATGTTGTACTGCGTGTTGTATTAGCTGGAATCTATCTAATCTATTGAGATTTAGCTGTAGTACGTCAGGTTGTGGGATAGTTGTCAGAGCGCCGCCAACAAGGAAATGGCCTGGAGTCAAGGGTGTGAGGTCTGTTGGGTCATGGGAAAGGGGTTGGAGTGGTCGGGAATTCAGGCAAGCCTCAATTTGTGTCAAAATAGTGTAAAATTCCTCAAACGTCAAGCGTTGCTCACCAATGACCCTCTTCAGGTGTGTTTTTACGGACTTCACTGCACTCTCCCAAAGTCCTCCGAAGTGTGGTGCGTGTGGTGGGATCAAATGCCATTCTATTTGTTCTTGTGCTAAGTATGTTCGAACATGATTATTGTGGGTTTCATCCCTTAGCAAGGCACCGAGCTGATTCAACTCGTTCCTTGCTCCTACAAAATTTGTCCCATTGTCTGAATAAATAGAATGACATTTTCCCCTGCGTGAGATGAACCGGTAGAGACAATTTAAAAATGCGTCGCTGCTAAGATCGATTGCCAGTTCGATGTGTATGGCCTTGGTCGAAAAACAAATAAATAGACAAATATAGGTCTTATGGGCCACCCTTCCGCGTCCCCTTTCCCTTATTAGAAAGGGACCTGCGTAGTCCACTCCGCAGGTAGCAAAGGCGCGTGCCGCTGTAACCCGGGCAGCGGGTAAGTTTCCCATAAGATAGCTTGAACCCGTTGGCTTTGTTCGGAAACATCGAATGCATTTATGCAGAATTTTTTTTATTAGGCGTTTACCACCAAGCGGCCAAAAACAAGTGCGTAATGACGCAAGTGTTGCTTGGCATGAAGCAATCTACGATGTTCGTATTCAACGAGCGTAATGGTAAATCTATGATCAGCGGGTAACAATACCGAGTGACGGTGAGCATACGGTATCGGAGCATTCCTTAATCGTCCGCCCACCCTGATTAATCCGTCAGAGCCTAGGAAGGGGTTAAGCGATCGAGTTTTATTTGAATGTGCAACTGGTGTCTCTGATTTTAATGCCTTAATTTCGGTAGCAAAACATTTTTCTTGAACAAGTCTGATCAACAATCGTTCTGCCTCTGCAAGCTCAGATGTCGTCAAATGATACAGGGTGGGTTTGTTGGAATTTGGGGTTGTGGTTCCGGAGGTGCGATCGCGAAGTCTAGTTTTTAGTCGGTTTATGAATCGAAGAATGTAAGCTGTGATGCGTTGTAACTGTGCATAGTTAGAGTACCGCGTGGGTAAATCAAAAGAGTCTGATTCTAATATACCTGTCATCGACAAACAGGTAGTGTCAGTCTGCCGTGCCTCAGGTATATCCCTTACAATGACGTCTCCGGATGGCCATTGGGCGGCTTCTTGTGTAAGCCAGGTCGGCCCGTGCCACCACAACTTGTTGTCCCTTAATTCCATTGCCGTCGCGCCCCGAGAAATAATGTCCGCGGGATTGTCGGATGATGACACATGGTGCCAGTGATTGGGGTCAGTTAATTGCTGAATCTGAGAGGTGCGGTTTGCGACAAATGTTTTCCATCTTGTCCAGTAATGTTCCACGTCAATGTCAAGCTGAAGTGCATGTTTCACAGTGTTTGCTAGCTGAGCTAGCAGCAATGCTCCACATAATTCCAACCGTGGTAGAGTGATCGATTTTAACGGCGCGACTCGTGACTTCGCACACAATAAATTGCTGACCCATACATGGGTGTTAACTAGAGTGCGCAGGTAGATGCAAGCTCCGTATGCACGTTCAGAGGCATCTGAGAACCCGTGCATCTCAATTCGTACCTTATTGCTACTAATTACACATCTTGGAACCGTTATTGACCCGACATTAAGCAATTCGCTTCGAAATCGCGACCATTGTGTGTGGATGAGTTGGGGCAAACTTTCATCCCAGCCTGCCCGTTCCTGCCACAGTTGTTGCATTATCAACTTGGCCTTGGTTATTATAGGCCCAAGCAGTCCGAGTGGATCAAAGATCTGAGCGATTTCCGACAAGATGACGCGTTTCGTGATGCGATTGGATGAATAACTTTTTACCGCGTAGTGGAGCTCGTCTGATTCCGTGGTCCACAGTAATCCTAGGGTTTTCGGGTCCCTATCGGCGGTTTTTATTGTGACAGCGCCCCTGTTTTCGTTCATTTCCGTGACTATGGACGGGTTATTGCTAGCCCATTTTCGCAAAGTGAAACCTGATTGTTCTAATATTTTTATGAGACTATGACGCAATTCAAAAGCCTCCTCAATGGTTTCGCATCCAGTAAGCAGGTCGTCCACATAAAAATCTTGTATGATTGCGCGACTTGCTATTGGAAATGATTCCGCGTGTTGGCGACCGATTTGACTCAAGACGCGTGTAGCCAGAAATGGAGCCGCGGCCGTGCCATAGGTCACCGTATTCAATTCATATGTTTGAATAGGTGAATTTGGATTCGAGCGCCAGAGTATGCGTTGCAGTCTGCGATCTTCCTGACAAACGCGAATCTGTCTGTACATTTTTTCAATATCGGCAGACAGAACGAAGCGGTGTTTCCTGAACCGGAGAAGAATGGAAAACAAATCGCTCTGCACGGTGGGACCAACTAACTGAGTATCATTTAATGAGATACCTGACGAAGTCTTTGCGGAGCCATCGAAAACAACACGAATTTTTGTGGTGGTGCTTGAATTTTTAAATACTACGTGGTGAGGCAAATAGTAACTGGATTTTGAATGGTCATTGTCATCTACATCCACGCGTGTCATGTGACCCAGGGTTTCGTATTCGGCCATAAATGCTAAATATTGCTCGCGAAGTTCCGGATTTCTAGAAAATCGCCGTTCCATCCCAATCAAGCGTCTTTCCGCCTGACTTCGCGATTCTCCTAATTGTTCTATGTTATCCCCTTTTGGGATTGCTACTATATACCGTCCGTCCGTGTCGCGTTGTGTCGTGTCTGTAAAATGTCTTTCAGCGTCTGTGATTGGAGGATGTGTTTGGGTGTTGTTGGAGCAACCCTGCGTTTCAACCTCCCAGAATTTCTCTATTGCAAGCTGAAGTTTGTCGTCGGTTGCAAGATGGCACGCACTAACCCCCTCCCTCTTCGTACTACGTGGGCAGGTCAGTGCTCCCCCTAATATCCACCCGAGTCGAGTTTTCTGCCACACCAGATTACCCTGTCCTGTCCTGTGCTGCCCAATACACAGCAATTTCCAAAACAGGCCGGCTCCGATTAGCAGGTCAACCCGACTGGGGTGGTCAAATTGCGGATCCGCGAGCAAAATTCCAGAAGGAGTGGTAAGTGCCTCTCGGGTTACTGGTACGTTGGGCATGTCTTCGGTGATATTTTTTATTACCAAGCAAGATAAATCTGATCTAAAATTACCACAGCGCGATTTTATCGTCACGTTTGTTTTGCGTTTGACAGAATTAGCTACTCTACTTAAACCCCCCACGGTCACATCTATTGTCGAGGCTGGCAGGCCCAACCTTTCACAAAAACTATTGGTAATGAAATGGACTTGCGGTCCGACGTCTAGCAGCGCGCGACACTCGTGTGCGTTACCCCTTGCATCTTCGATATAAACAATTGCGGTGGATAGCACGGTATATTCTACGGTGGACTCCCTTGAATTCGAGATATATGATTGTATACCGGATGTCGAGGGTCTATCTTGCTCATGGTCACGAACAGAGGTCACTTCGGATACGCGATTTGAGGGTTTTTCCCGGTCTGTGGTTGCTTCGTCTCGATGTAGCAGTGTGTGATGTTTTCTTCCACACTTTCTACAAACGCCTCGAGTACAACCCTTTATGCTGTGCCCTAGCGCGAGACAGTTGAAACAGCATTGAAGGCGTTTCACTGTCTCGTGCCGTTCTGGGTGCTGCATTGCTAATAGTTTAGCACAATGATGCAGTTGATGGTTGCCCTTGCATAAGGCACAATTATTCTGCGCACTTGAAACATGGGTGGCTATTGGGTCGGAAGTTGTCCTACCCTTATGGAGTGGTTTGGAAGCATACATTGGAGGTTGAGTGTTGATCATCGTTCGTTCAAGGAATTTAGCTTGTTGTTCGATAAACTGCACGAAATCTCTAAATCCTAGTCTCTCGGAACGCTTAATTAAATGCTTATCCCATTCCCTCTGTGTAATCGGATCTAGTTTTTTCGATAAGACAAGAACCAATAGAGTGTCCCATGTGTTCACTGGTTCACCTAACGCTCCTAACGCAAGAACTATGAATTAATGATTCGAACGTGTCCCTGAAACGCAGCCAATCGTTATAGTTTCCATCGAAAGACGGCAGCACAATTGTGGGCAATTGTGGCGTGACCTGTCTTGCGATGGATTCGGAGGCTGAGACCGTCGGTGATGGTGCGGATGCTTGAATACCACGAGATGAATTTATGAATTTCTCTACGTTTGCCAGAGTGCCGAAAATGGTGGTCTCAAAAATGTCTCGCTCATGCATGTGAGATTCCTCATGCTCGGTGCCCGAAACTAGAATTTCGATTTGTGACTGCACTGCATCAAATTTCTCAAATAACCCTTCGTTTGCTTTTACACGTTTTTCGACCATAGCTATGTCCATATCAAGTGCCGTTGTTTCAACAAACCGTTTGAAAAGGGTCAATTTGCCTTTGATCGCGCCGCGTTCAGCAATGAGAGGTTTCAATTGCTGCTCCATAATGATTAAACTATTTTAACACAAATGAGTTGCAAGGACTTACGGAGACGAAGGATAGGTTGACGATGCTGGCTCGCTCCGTTCGCAACCGTTGCCGGATCCCGTTACAGATGTGTCTATCGGCACCGGTTTCTATCTCGTCCAGGGGGTGATGTCTCCTTGAGATAACACGCACTGCTCCTTCCTGGATGACTAAATGGGATACCGCAGCTTCTGCACGAGTTCCCAGGTCACCGTGTGCACCGCCTTCCTTGATGATGATTGCTGGCCCAATTGATTGACCACCAAAGATAGGCTGCCTCGAACAATTTGCTTCTTTAGCCCACTCGCAATCGTGGACTACGATTCACGTTCCAGATTGCTTGGGTGTTGTCGCTGTCCGTCTATGTATCTCTTCGATGCACTGAGAATCCGGCTCGAAGGACCACTCAGTACAACGGTTATTCTCAGACACTTACATTTTTGATAGTGGATCGCGTATTACAAAGGGTGTCGAGTATCCCGATAGACCATAAATCACTACAAATTCCGCAGAATTTGCCCTTAGCCGATCCAAGGTTTTACGAATCTGCTGAAGTTGACGGTCTCTTGGGCGCACATGTCTTCTAGGATTTGCTCTTGATAGGATGCAAACAAGCTAGCTAAGAATGGCACAAAAAACCCTTGTCATCGATCAGGAATCATCTGTAATGTCATTACTGTTAGGCTAAACAGCATCGATACGCGGTTCTGTGTTGCGTTGCGCGGTGAATGCGTTCGTCTTCTCTTTTGGGCGTTACGACTGCGTGACTAATTCAATCGCTTGCTGGTGTGTCGCCACAACGGAACAGACGCATCCTTCCATCGTAATTCTCCTTACAGTTACAAATTCATTGGAACAGCAGATTTTAAGGTTTTGGGAATTGGAAGAACGATCCGTGAAAAAGCATTTATCCCCCGAAGAACACGCGTGTGAAACTCACTACCTGCAACATACCCGACGCGACACAGGTAGTGATCGGTATTCTGTAAAACTGCCATTCAAGGAAAACATAAAGGAATTAAGAGAGTCATATCCTATGGTATTCAAACGTTTCCTCGCCCTAGAAAGGCAATTAGATCGGAATCCTCAAATTAAGGAACAATAATCTGCATTCCTCAAAGAATACCAACAATTAGGGCACATGACAATAGTTAGCTCTAAATCGCTCGATGGATATTTCGTACCGCACCATGCAGTCACGAAAGTCGACTGTCTCACCACCAAAATTCGCGTGGTATTTGACGCGTCCGCTAAAACTTCATCAGGGATATCATTAAATGATGCGTTAATGGTAGGTCCCACGGTCCAAGATGACCTTTTCACCCTGATTTCCCGGTTTCAAACTCACCAATACGTTCTCACAACTGACATCACAGAGATGTATCGGCAAATCGAATTATCCTCAGAAGACCTGAATGATCACAAAATCCTTTGGCGAGAACATCGCAGTCAACCGCTTCAAACGTTCGTTCTCAACACCGTCACATACGGTACCGCGTCCGCAACCTTTCTTGGCCACTCGTTTCTTGCAATAACTTGCAAGAGACGAGGGATTTAACCACTCGATCGCAGCCGAAGTGTTACAAAACGACTTTTATATCGACGACTTATTGACAGGGGCATTCACTTTTAAAGAGGCCGAATTTCTTCGCGACGAATTCATCCTACTCATCACGAAAGGAGGTTTCCAGTTACGACAGTGGGTCTCCAATGATTCCCGATTAATCGAACCATTAAAAAATACACATGACGAACACAGGACACTTACGAGGGGGTACCCAAAAGAAACCGAACTAATTTTTTGGTGGGCAGAGCTTTTGTAGTACCGCGTTTTGCTGCTAAGAGCGCATAGAACTAACATTCCTGAGTCGGTACGCCGAGTACCATCGCTGAAAAAGGTAAGGACTAGTTTCGGCAGAGTTTATAGCGGCAACTGTTTTGTGTGATCGTCGTTTTTGCAATGGCTGATTTTTGTGAACAGCGTGCGGTGGTGAAATTCTGCTTTTTGCTCGGAAAAAGTGGAACAGAAACTCTTGAAATGTTAAAAACGGCGTACAAGGACGATACTATGGGGAAAACTTAAGTGTTTGAATGGTTTTCCCGTTTCAAAAATGGTGAAATGTCAATTGATGACAAACCTCGTTCTGGTCGTCCCTCCACGGCCCGAACACATGAAAATGTTGAAAAAATTCGTGAAATCATCGAGAAAGATCGACGACGGACCATTGAAGAAATTGTGGAGCTGTCGGGAGTGACGTGGAGTTCAGTTCAGCAAATTTTGACAGAAGATTTGGCAACAAGTACACGCGGGTGATGTGCAGCCTTTGCTGCGGCTTTAACGGAGCTCGTGTAATTTTTTGTAGCAGTGAAGTAATATCGTATTTCCTCTTCAAGATTCCCCTGAAGTTGAGTTCCACCCCAAGATGTTTCCATGTTTCGTCGAACCCAACTTGGGGAATTGGAGTGCCCGCAATATTAAATAAGGTGCCTTCTATTAATTTGGATTTTTTGTCAAACCCGGACGGTTTCACGCTTAACGCACGACACTTGAATGGCGCAGGGACGAGTCCATGACAAGCCAGCTCGCTTGTTACAGCGTCGATGCTTTCTTGCAGACCCTCCACTGTTGCTGCGATAAGAACCATATCATCAGCGAATGCCAGAGCGTTGACCAACGTATTGTTTATAGAAAAACCCACGGTGTCCGGGATTTTCGCGAGTACCTCATTGTTTATGCTCGTGGTAATGATTCGCAAATCTATTGTCGAGCCTTGTTGAGTTTGCACGTGGTGTGCCGACTTTATTTTTATTTGACTTCTCGAAGGACCACCCCGATATCTTCAGGGAACAAATTCTATTTATTTTCCACGTCGCACTGGACTTCAAGAAATAGACTATATATTCTACCAGGATTCTAAGTGGTAACTTGCTGCTGTTCTTGGCTGAACTGACTCTCGTTTTTTCGTCTTGAGCGTCTTCGAGACGCGTCCAACTAAAGACACGCTGATTGGCAGATAATTCTGAAAATTATAGTTGGGGCCACGATATAGCGAGGTCGTAAATGAAACTCTCAAGAATCGGCACTCACGAACATCACTTTCTGGACAGATTCGATGAGTACCCTGCATTGGATCCGAACACCTCCACATACTCTTAAGCAAATCGTTGCAAATCGTGTAAGCGAGATACAACAAAATAGCAATATTGACCAATGGCGTCACGTTCCATCCGCTGACAATCCAGCCAATATTTTATCTCGGGGTATCAATCTTGCTGAATTCTTAAGGGGTCTTCCTAGTGTGACGAGTTGAAAAAAGTCAATTTTTTTTTTTGCATTTTCTTATAGTTTAACATGTCGAGAATACCTCCACGAAGTTTCAAAATCTAATTCTTAATATTAGCTGAGGTACATGACTCCGAAGAAAGCGGCGCGTTCGTGCGCGAGCAGGTAAGAACCGATGTGTCCTGCGCTCGGTTTGTCGAGCCGGCGGTCAAGGGTCCCCGTTTGAAATTTTTGTTCCTGGGTTAGGGAACAATAGAGGAACATTTGCCAATGTAGTTAATTCGATGCCAAACCCTGCGTACATACTGGAAAAACCATCAGTACCTTCCGAGCTATTTCACGAGTTAGACGTTTGTCAAGTGAGTGAACATGGATAGGAAAGGTGATAAAAGTTGTTCATCCCACGCATATAGACAATGAAAAAGAAAGTTTTGTGGAAATCGTTATACAAGTGAACAAAGTAGTAGTTTCACGAGCTCTTCAGCGAAGAAGCTACTCCAAAGTGAAGACAAGAACTTGGATGTGGACAATTCACATACATACAGGATTTTACATTTTGTCATTGTAGTTTCTACAATAAGTGAATTAGTGATTTGCAAAATATGTAAAAAGGATATTAAATTCACGGAATCAAGTTCTCGAGGACTGGGTTTTAAAATCGCGGTGAATTGTGATTGCGGTGTTTCCTACATAAACTCTTGTCCTTTGATTGCAAATGCGTACGAAATAAACCGCAGAATTGTAGCTGTTATGCGTTTATTGGGTATCGAAATCGAAGGATTATTATTCTGTGGATTAATGGACATGGCCAGATCATTTTACAGCAACACATATGGATGCATTGAAAATTTATATACTGCTGGAAGTGCCGTGTACGAAGTAGTAATAAAATCCGCCATGAAAGAAGAACAAGAAAAAACTGTCGAGGTCGAAAACTCAAAAGAAAATTTAACTGTGTCCGGGGACGGATCATCGAAAAAAAGGGGACATTATCCGTTATTTGGCGTAATAACGCTTATCAGAAAATATACCGGCAAAATACTTGACACAGTGGTGAAGTCAAGTTACTGTAAATTGTAAGAAGTATGGCGAAATAATGCAAGAAATAATGATGATTTTGAAGAGTGGTATAAAAAACACGAAGCTGAATGTGCAATAAATTACACCCGACACATCCTCCGGTGTCACGCGTCGTTAACCAATCCCGAATAAACCGCCTCCTTCGGCTACCTTCGTTAACCATACGTTGGCACGTCCGAGCCCTCCTGTCTTACACCCGACACATCCTCCGGTGTCACGCGTCGTTAACCAATCCCGAATAAACCGCCTCCTTCGGCTACCTTCGTTAACCATACGTTGGCACGTCCGAGCCCTCCTGTCTTACACCCGACACATCCTCCGGTGTCACGCGTCGTTAACCAATCCCGAATAAACCGCCTCCTTCGGCTACCTTCGTTAACCATACGTTGGCACGTCCGAGCCCTCCTGTCTTACACCCGACACATCCTCCGGTGTCACGCGTCGTTAACCAATCCCGAATAAACCGCCTCCTTCGGCTACCTTCGTTAACCATACGTTGGCACGTCCGAGCCCTCCTGTCTTACACCCGACACATCCTCCGGTGTCACGCGTCGTTAACCAATCCCGAATAAACCGCCTCCTTCGGCTACCTTCGTTAACCATACGTTGGCACGT